GGGCCTTCGGCCGCGGCGCTCCCGCGGGGCCGTGTGCGGGCGCCCCGGGACCGCGGAAGCCCGACTCGGCGAGACCCAGCGGCGTGCCGCGTCTCCGGGCCGGAGCGTCGGGGCTCGGCGGGCTGATGGTAGTCGGGCTGCGCGGTGGGGAGCCGGGGAGCGGGGACGGTGCCCGGCCGCGCTCCGCCTCCGGGCAGCGGCGCCGTGGGAGGCTGCGAGCGATGCCGCCTTGCGGCACAGCCGGGGTGGCCCGGCGGCCGGAGCGGCTGCCGCCGCTGCTAGGCGCGATGCTCCGGGGCTTGTTTTGCAGGCGGGCTTGGAGCCCGCAGCCGAGCCCTCGGGGAGGGTTCGGCTGAACGGAGGCGCTTCCCTGCTGAAACAGTAAACCTGGCACAAACCGCCGTTCTGGGCAGCGCCTGAACGTGTGACACGGTACCCGGGCATACGTTCGTTCGTTCCCAGAGGGGAACAAGCAGCATCTCGGATGCTCTCTGGGAACAGAGCCACAAGTTATTTAGGGGTACAAGCAACCCGACCTGGCGGTCGTGGGTGGTTTCTTTTTCTTTTAGAGTCAGTAAACCGCTAAAACTCAACGGAGCGGCAGAGAACAGGCTTGACCGTCTCAGTCCTTCCGTCTGTGCACAATGCTTTTAATACCAGTTTTATAAAGTAGTCTTACCTAACGTTAAAAATAAGAAATGACCCTAGCTGAGTTTAAAATCTCAGCACCTAATAAGTTTTAAAATACTGTACTGAAATTGCACGGTTTGTGCAATTTGCATAGTGCAGTGCTGATATTGGTTATTGAAGTCTGGGAGATTTCTGGACCACCAAACTGATGGAAGGCTCGCAGCAAGTAAATTTCCTGCTTTCTGACTGAAAAGCAGCAATTTAAGTCCATTCTTCTCATTTGCTAATCCTTACAGTTTGGGGCGGGGGGTGCTGCAAGTTAAAAGAGTAATTGTGAACTTGATAAACTGAATTGCCCTGTATGGGGTTGAAGTATTTTTGTTAGGCAGACTGCAGTGATGAGGTATAGATTCATTCAGAAAACGCATCATTTCAGCACAGGAAGGCACAACTGTCGTAGCAGTTTGCAGGACTATCTCTGATAATAAAAGTTAGCATTCTTGTGTTTGTGTGTTGGTAAAGCCTATAAAAACTGTAAGATGTGCCTGTATTATTGACTTTGCAGAGAAAGTTGTGGAACAGCCCAGCTAATAAATATGATCAGCATCAGGTATCAGAGTTGATCAGAGAGATGACCAACTGATACTGCACAGTCTTCATGTACAACTGTAATGGATTCCAGCCATACTGCCTACTGCAGCACTGGAGTATGCTTAAACTTGCAGTGATTATGTTAGCATAAACCTGTTCTGCATGCAGCAGAACATAGCAGAGAACTGTTTTCTGTAAAATAAAACATTGTTCCGTGGCAATAGTGTGTAAATATTCCCAGTTTTCTTTCTCGGTTACAAGGATGTTTATTTTTCAGGTGGTCTCCTAAACAACAATATATCTAAAAGCGTAATTACAAATGTATATCTATAGAAGCTTAATTAGTGTTTGTGTCTGGAATGAAGTAAGGAACTTGACTTGGCTGTAAAATCTCATGGATTTTTCTTTCTGGATTACTTTTCAGGTAGATCAGTTTCCCCATTGGATTCACCTTGTGACCAAAGTCTTATGCAAAGGTATTGTAAGGACAGGAACCTCCTTAGCAGTAATGCTGCTAAAGAGGTAACCGTGAGCTCAGTTTTTCCACTGAAGAAATCTAAAAAGCATTAGTAAAACCACTTATTTTTGTTACTTACTGATTCAGAATACTCTGTTTCTAGCTTTCAGTTGAGGAAAATGTGATACAAACAAAACTAATCTTTTCATTACTCGTGCAAAGGATGAAATTCTTTGATGATGGATGAATACTCATGCTCCTGTGATGAAATGTAGTAAAGATGATAGGATACAGCAGGAATGGAAAATCCAGGAGAAAATGCAGGAATATTTTCAACAAAAATGCGTAATTACCAGAACTAGAATATGGCCAAGAAACCAAGAGGCTAAAAATAGCATCAAACTGTATGTATCAAATTTGCCACAAGATCTTTAGTAACCAGGAGTAATTCTTCAGAGAAACAAACTAGAGATACTGTACTGTCTCTCTTCACACCTTGAATATATGGGAGCATAACACCTACCTACTGCAGTGTTGCGGTAGCAAATTCCTCTTTGTGGCTTGCACATCTTACCTTTTGGGATTTGACGAGATCAAAACAGGCAACACAGCTGTGGAGATGACACGCATTTGCATTTTCTGCTGAAGTTATGGCCTAACCAAGGTCAGTTTTCTTAATGCTGCTTCTCTTTTGAAAGTATTTTAAAGGCTCCTGAAGGAACAGGGCAGAAGGCTTAGAAATGATATGGTGATTTTATGAAACTATTCTCCGACTAGAAATACTATTTTTTTGGCTCTTATCGTCAATGTGAGTTTGCTCTGGTGTCTAATGATAGTTTTGTTTCATTCACAAAGGTTACATGAGAGCCAACGTAATTTTCAGACATTGCCAAATTATGAGCAGCAAATCTTTTGTGAATTATTGAATGATGGGACTAGATTGGGCCAGAAATGCAGAAATTTCTAGTGCACTTCCATTAACTATAGCCATGTTTCCTACAGAACTGTCATTGCCATCTTGTGCCTGATATACTTCAGAGCCATAGAACAATCATCTACTCAGAATGTTCCTTTTTGATCCTCACTGGCATGTTCAAAAGAGGATTGGTTTGAGGAAGCCAATTTTGAAACTAAATTTCACATCACTCCAGAATACTAAAAATCAGTGGTTTTAACTTGAAAGCCTGTCACAATCTACATAATCATTGTAAAGCAAGGTTGACTAACATTCATTCCTAGACCCTTTTCCTACAAATGGTGTAACTGACCAAGAACCAGAAACATCTGCTCTTAACCTGCAGATTCCATTGGATCTTGCTGCTGCTTTGTCACATCTGATGGCTGTAATCATGATTGTATGGTCACTTCACTTGGATGAAGTAAGGGTCACCGAAGAGGAGGAGGTTTGGCCCTCCTCAGTCATATCTAGCAACATATTCCTATTACTTCCAATGTGACAACACTAGCACTTGTACAGTTGTGTATTGTGCTTGTGTACCTCAGGGCAGCCACAGCAGCAGGAGGGAGGCTCACTGCTAAGAGGAAGCGGGTGGTAGTACTCCTTTTATAGCAGCCAACACTGATATTCATCTGACGAGACTGTGGAATCATATCTAAAGTCACTGATGACCTATTTACATTTAAAACTACTAGCTAGCTTTCTAGTTTGAAGTGGCAGATAAGCCATTATCTCTGAAATGCATCTACTAGTTATCTCTTTGAATCTGCAAAATAAAAGTTTCTAGAAGTGGTAGCTACCAATAGCAGAGCTGTATCCTACTGGGTGAAAAAAAAATGGCTAATGTTAATTTTCTTGTTCTTCTTGGGTATCTGTGTGCCAAGTGTTAAGTGAACTGTTTCTGTTTAATTTTTCTTTCTGCATCCTGATGCTATAAACCATGTCAACTGTATGTAACTAAATCTTCATTAGCACATTGAGGTTTTTTTTTTTTTTACGATGAGTCACTGGAAAAACAACATTAATACTCTACAATTTGATTCACTACTCATAATAAAGATGCTGAATCAGGAGCGTGGTCTTCTCATTCACTCATGTAGTTTTG